TAAAAATCTTTAAAATATTGTATTGTACTACAATCACCATATTTTCAGGGTAAATTTTAAAAGAAAATTCTCTCCGTGTATGTTTTATGTAATATTGCATATTGAATTTATGTTAAAATAAAATCTACTTAAAAGAAACTACAAAATGTAATCTGATTATGTTAGTACATTAGTTTCAATACTTATTAAATATTTATTATAATAACTAAATATTATAATAACTAAATAATTATTTAGCTCTTTTCTATAAAAAGATAATTCTGATTTTCAATTATTTGTAATTCAACGATTCTGTAGATCTAGTTGTAAATTCTGTTGACATTTTTCTGTCATATATTTACATGATGGCCCGTATTCAGAACGCGCTTACAACGATGTTAGCACGCTAACATACTGTACTTTACGTCACGTATATTATAGAATTTCAGAGATAAAAGTGCGCTTTTATCGATAAAAGTACGTTCTGAATACGGGCCGATATATACAATCACGCGTGTTGATATTCTAGTCAGTATTCGAGAAGCTTTCGAAATAGCAACACAATCGTGCCAATGTTACTTTGATATTAAAAATGGTATTAACTGTAATTTATAATTAACCGTCATTAACTATAAATTAATCAACTACGAATCTCTCAATTATATTTTAATCTGCACACAGGTAATATAAAAAGTAAGACATTAAAAATAATAGTAGTTCAAAATAGTCATTTATCCTTTTCATTACATAAAAAGATATATAAAACATAATACAAAAGTTTCAAAAGACAACGCATGACTAAAGGAGAGTACAACTATCTTTGTGAGTGCATTCAAGGACAATTCTAAATTACTTTTTAAATGATTAAAGCGTATAAGTGACAGTGATTTCATAACAATGTAAATAAGGATTTTATTCTTTATTTTACTTACCAAATTTTTCTTTAATTTAGCATCGTTATTATGATAATGTTTGGTTTCCATAAAGAAAAATATAAAAGAAAATATAGAAATAATATCCCCGAACACTTGTGAAAAACGTTATACTCTCCTTTCCTATACCAACATTATATGTTTATATTCTTTATTTCCGATGGTAAATATATTCTATGTAGCTAAATGTAAACACCCTCTTTGGATATTTAAAAATATATTTTAAATTTAATAAATTAGTCTTTTATTACAATTTCTTTTAAGAAAGAATTCTATGGAAATAACAATAACATACAGCATTAATTAATTACGAATACATTAAAGTATACTCAATATCATAATATCAAATATAAAACGAGTAGTTCATAGTTCTTTTTAAATAAATGTTATATATAATTCTTTTAATAAGAATCGAAAATTTTTTCCCTATTCATACTATTTTTGCATGACAACTAATATTAAATTGCTCTCGACTTTACAAATTTAGACTTCAAATATAATTACAGACTTCATTGCATAATATTATATTTGTTTTTCCTTTAACAAAAAAATTGCAGATACGATAAAAAGAAAGATTCAATATGATATTCCTAAAGTTGTTATTAAGTATTGGCCTAATACTGACCACAAAAAAGATTTTTTGCAATAATTTAGAAATGATTGATCGTTTACCCAATAATACGGTACCAGTTCATTATAAAATCAATCTAACAACATTGTCTCTTGAGGAAGACAACTTTACTTTTTATGGTAAATCCAATATCAATATTGAAATTCGTTATACATCATTAGAAATAATTCTACACTCAAGAGAATTAGAAATAAATAAAGAGGCGACAACATTAATCAATGACAAAGGTACAGTTTATAAACCGATGAAACATACTCATAACAATAAAACGGACATTTTGACACTTAATTTCAATAATGCATTGTTACCTGGTCTTTACATTTTGAACATGAAATTTTCTGGTAATCTACTTAAACCTGTACCTCGGCGAAGAGGTTTTATAAAATTCCCGTACACAAACGATAAAGAAAACGACACGTAAGTAAATATACCTATATTAAAATATAAAATATACATTTGCAACATAAATGTTTTTCATTACTATCTTCTTCTTTTATCATTTGTTGCCATACTTATATATATTTTCAGTAAATATAATTTTATAATATATTTGTATAATTATAATATAAAATAATTTATAAAACAAATATAATTATAATATAAAATAATTTATAAAACAAATATAATTATAATATAAAATAATTGCATATATTGTACAATATGATACATAGAAGAGTAACTTCAATTTCAAATAAAATGGCTATACAACATTTCGATTTTTACTTTCAACAAAATTTTTACTAAAGATACATATATAGATAAATTTAACAATAAACAATTCTAAGTCCAAATTCTTGTGTTATTTAACATAAGTAATAAATTTGCTACCATTTTGTTAAATAGTAAGTGGTTGGCCGCAACGTATTTCGAACCGAATGCCGCCAGACGAATGTTTCCATGTTGGGACGAACCAGCGTTGAAAGCCACCTTCGACATCTTCGTAAAGCATTATCAGAAATATAACGTATTATCGAATATGCCAATACTACAGCAATTTTTGGAACAAGATAGCATGTTACGGACACACTTTTACGTCACTCCTGTAATGTCTACTCGTACCGTGGCGATTGTGATGTACGACCGTAGCGATTTTGTCCGCGCTCCTAATCGAAACGGGACCATCAATATATGGTGCAAACCATCTTTGATATCGAAAGTAAAATTTGGGCAGAATATTGCTGAAAAGGTCATGAAATTCTTAATTCAATATACTAATAGTTCTCAGAAAGTACCGAAAATGGACCACATCTTGATACCGTCTTTTACAGTTGGCAGCACGGAAAATTGGGGACTTATCATTTATCGGTAATATAATCAAAAAGAAATTTATTAAACTATTAAATCTAGCCAATGTGACAGTATAGATAAAAACAGTAGGCTAACTCAGTCAAAAATGGTACGACGTACGGTGCACCAATGAGTTTTCCCAAGTATCTACTACCATCTAGAGAAGCTAAGCAACTTCGCTCTTGTAGGTGCTCACGGCTGACAATATGGCGGTCGTTTAGCGGTCAGATCAAAGATATCGACACAGAGTGAGCCTACTGTTTCTACTTATGATATGCCAATATTACATTCAGCATTCAAAATTTAGTAATTTAAAATATGATCGATTTTACAGATATCCAAAAAATATTTTTTTTCATGTTTAAATCGTTTTAA